TTGATTGCTTGCTTGGCTGTTCATTTACTGTTCTTTCGCTATACCGTAGTGGGCTATATGACTGTTATAATTTTTAATTGTACATTAAGTGCTTAAGCTTTCTTGTAAACCCAGCTATTATATGTGTGCTAATAATTAAAACATCAGCATAAGCTAAGTAGATGGGTGGGAGATCTACACAGAGAAGCCCACCTGCGATGAGAGTGTAGACAAAGAAAATTCTAAGCTGCCTTGCAGACCTAAATAGTAGAAAGTTAGGATATAAATGTGTCAAATAAAAAGTGAGAAAGCAAGTAAAAAAAAACTGCCCTTGCTTCCTGATCTGGCTCTTGTGGACATCGGGGCTTAGGATGTGGTTTTCTCTCTGTTGCTCCACTGTACTCCTCCTATCCCACTGAGGTTAAGATTCCTTTGGCCTGTAAGTAAGTAAATAAGGAGACCTCTGAGTAGCAGCAGTTGCTGGGTCGGAAGCAGCTGGGAGAACTGGGGCCAAAGCAATGCAAAATGTTCAGCAATGCAAGTTAACCCTTTTTTTGCAGCAACTAGTACAGCTCATCATAACACCCAATCTGCTATTTCGAAACAAACACTGAAATTGGAGAATATTCAATACAGCCTGACCTGAATGTGTGAGAATGCTGTTTAACAGCCATTACAGAGCTGACCCTGTCGATGTGTGTGATAAGCTTGTGCTGGCCTAGCTGCTACCAGTTGGCCAAGTCATGTGAATTTAGCCCCCAAAGGGCAAGAGAAGGGCTCTGTCCTTAGAGAAACTTGCAGTTTGAAGCAAAGATTTCAGAACCTGCACTGCACTTTAGAAGGTGTTGTCCTCTTGATTTACATGCTGTTTCTCCCCCCCCCTCTCTTTTTCTTTCTTTTTGTTGGCATTTGTCTGTTTTGGGAGACAATGGAAGAATGCACATTCTTGGGTAAAAGTCTTTGTTATCCTGTCACTGTAAATAAATGATCAGTAGTTCTGGACTAAACTCAAGGCAGAAATGATGGTACATGGTGAGAGAAACTGCTTAAAAAGGGGAGGTTGTATCTGGGTTTTATTTTGCAATTGTAAAATGATGTAGTTGAGACCAAGTGGAAGACTTGAGGAGGGGGCAGAGGTAGTTAGTTATCCTGATTATCCAGGCTTGGAAAGAGCCGATGACCCACCGGATGCTGTTGGGCTACAACTCCCATCAGCCCCAGCCACTATGAACAGGGATGATGGAAGATGTAGCCAAGCAACATCTGGAGAACCACAGGTTCCCCACCCCACCCCACCCCCTAAACCTTCTCCACCTTCAGCCCCATGATGAAGTTTCATGATTATAACACAGTTCCTAAAAGGAAAGCAAATATTTAAGTCCACGAGGCAGCTTGGTTTAAATGCAGTTGTTTACAGTCAGAGAACGGGTGTATCTCAGTATCCCTATAATAGTAGACTGGGTTTTGGACTTCATGGGAATGCGAGATGTTGCTCCAACCATCTCTGCTCTAAGTAGGGATGCTACCAAATTCACTGTCTTCCAGCTTATTGTGTTCAGTGAGTATTCTTGCTGGCAGTTGCCTTCTTTTGGGAGATGCTGTCTCCTTGCTTTGTTGTAGAGCATGAGCCATTAATGCCATGTGCCAGTTCCTTGCTCCCTGAGCCACTGGCTGGAAGAGAGAAGTGCAAGCAATTCAGGCCAGTGTATTGATGTCCAGAATCCCTCTGGTCCCTGGGAATGGGGACTGGAGGAATTAAAAAGGTGGGGACTTGCCATGCACACAATTATACCTGCCAATATGTATGTATGTATGTATGTATGTATGTATGTGCGTGCTAATGGAAGCCAAGATTTTTCAGCCCTTTGGAAAGAAATGGATGACCTGTGTCACTATGCCCCTGACAGCAAATAGTTTTAAAGTTCCTCTTGAGAAGGATCTGACAGTGTATCAGTGCCTTGAGAAACATGGCAACAGCAAGACTGGCACTGTGGGCTCAGCTGTGCAGTTGCTGAATCCCAGCAGGATTGGCCATGCTTTCAGAGGAAGCAAGATCTCAAAGTCCCACCAAGCCTTAAGTCATTGTTCTCCTTCACTGCATGCTCTTAGAGTGCCATGCTTGCCTCCCATTTCCCCCCTGAGCTTTCCTAAGCTTCTGTTGTGATGCTGACACACCAACATAGGTGAGTAGAGAAGATCTCTGGGTAATACACTCTGAATGTGAGCACTCTATCTCAAGTGTGTAACCAACATGGTTCTCTTCAGTTGCTGTGCACTCCATCAGCCCTGCTAGTCAGGGATGATGGTAATTGTAGACCACAACATCTGGAGGGTACCATTTTGGTTGTCTCTGCTGTGCATCCTAGCCAGTACAGCCACACCACCTGGTGATGCCTCAGGGAAGCTTATAGGCAACAACCTTCCCCAATCTTATGTTCCTAGCAGCTGGTATCCAGAGGTATACTGCCTCTAAAAATGAAAGTTCACTCTAGCTTTCATGGCTAATTGCTGTTGAGACCTATCCTCCACTTGGGTTCCTGAAGGGACACCCACCAAGCAGTGCAAGTGATCTTCAGAGTTTTGTTGCTCTCTCTTCTGCTCATATAATACTTTATACTATTTCTTTTTTGGAAATGAGTGTTTATACACACACACACACACACACACACACACACACACACACATATGTTTGATTTCTGTTCAGCCAGAGAAACATGAAGTTTGTACATGCTTCAAGGTATTGATAATTTGATTCATGTGCATTATTATAGAGCTGGCAAAGCAGCAGCACTAATGAGAAGCTTTTCACAGTCTAATGGGGTGTTCTAAACATGTGCATTTAGTCAGTAGATCAGTATATGTTTGCTACTAGTATCTATCTGCCGTACAGTTTGCTGTTTGTAAAGCAAGGGTTCCCGATGTTGTGGGTTCTGCTTGTGTCAGTGCTGACAAAATCAGGACCAAAGTTTATGGTTGCAAAATGGAACTTTATTATTTTCCTGCCTGTAGAGGGGAAAAATACAATCTGTGCAAGATACTGTGGGATGGGTGGGGGGAACTGCTAGTAATGCTTCATGGGACTTTTTATTTTTTCAAGAAATGTTGTACAACATAATCTGAAGCTGTTGACACTTTATGCATGTTAGTAATAGAAATAAATAAAGCTTTTAAGATGATTTCTGTCTGTGTGGCCACTGCTTTTTCTTCTCTCTGCTCCCCCTTTTGATATTTCCATTACTTTTAAACAGTGGGCAAAACCTTGTCCAGCCTTCCTCCAAACATTTTGGGCTGCAGCTTCCATCAAATCCAGCCAGCACAGTTGTTCTGGCCAGGGGTGGTGGTAGTTCAAACATCTGGATACCCTTTTAATTCTCTCTCTCTCTCTCTCTCTCTCTCTCACACACACACACACACACACACACACACACACCAGCTGATGCTATTTACATTTATCTAAATCTGCCACTTAAAATGCAAAGGTGGTCCCATTGAAATCATGGACATCGAATTTGAGATGATTAGAAAAGTGCAGATTCCAGAAGCCACAAAAATCTAACCAGGATCCAGTACTTTGACAGAGTCACTTGATTTCAACAGAAGGGAGTAAGGAAGTATGTTCCCATTGGAATCAGTAAAGTAAAGGTAAAGGGACCCCTGACCATTAGATCCAGTCGTGACTGACTCTGGAGTTGTGGCGCTCATCTCGCTTTATTGGCCGAGGGAGCCGGCGTACAGCTTCTGGGTCATGTGGCCAGCATGACTAAGCCACTTCTGGCGAACCAGAGCAACACACGGAAACACCCTTTACCTTCCCGCTGGAGCGGTACCTATTTATCTACTTGCACTTTGACGTGCTTTCAGACTGCTAGGTTGGCAGGAGCAGGGACTGAGCAATGGGAGCTCACCCTATCGCGGGGATTCGAACCGCCGACCTTCTGATCGGCAAGTCCTAGGCTCTGTGCTTTAACCCACAGCGCCACCCACATCCCTATTGGAATCAGTAGGGCTTAATTATTTTTTAAGTTTGGACAGATTGCACCCCAGCTCATATTGTGAGGAACTCCAGTGGCCTGCAATTCAACCCACTGTGCACTCTTCTGACAAAACTGGAGACATGCCACATCCTTATACCTACAAAGCTAGATGGGCCATTGGCATGATCCATGAATATATAGGTTATATTCTTAACCTATAGGGCTCATTGGCAAATCAACAGATTGAAAACTAACAAATCAGTGGGCCCAGATGTCATGCACCTGACAGTTTTTCATTCATAAGTGAAATTGCTAATCTAACAACAACAACAACAAGGTAACCTATCATTGGCCTGGGATTACCATCCTTCTGCTCCCACCCCACATCAAATGCTACTGACTTCAAGTTCATAAATTACTGCTGTTCCAGAATCCTGTCTTTTTGCCATGTGCTCTGTTGTGGCCAAGCCTATGGTTTGAGTCTCACTTGTCACCAAGCCCATGGCCTAAAATGACTAAAAAGCTCTGGGGCCATGGCAAATAATCTGCCCACCAAAAATGCCCTGGGATCAGCAGGGGCTGAAGACTACCTACCTAATCCATACAAGAGAATGGCTGCCATTTCTCTCCTCTGGAGAAAATAAGGCAATGCATTTGACCAGTATGTGTGTGTTAAAATCAGCTGTCTGCCTTCAACATAGAGTGGGCTGTCTTTACAGACATCTCCCTGGCAGAGATGGCAGAAGGGTTGTAGTTCACCAATAGTTGAGAATATGATTGCAAACAAAAGGCCCCAAGTTCAGTCTGTCACATTTTCATCTTGGGCTGGAAACTCTGTGGCAGGCTTATGGAGTTTGTGTCTCATAAAACTGAACATATCCTGCTGGGAGCAGGATAAAGTTCCTGGGGTTTTTTGCTTGCATGGACCTGCAGAAGCAGTGTAGGTTGTCAGTCACCTGGCAGGTAACTCTATATGGCTGATGGACCACACTGGATGCTGTGGTGCACACACTCTGCAGCTTTATAATAAAGGAAACGACTCAAGCACAAGATCATTGCTGACATTTATTAAGACAAATCTAAAAAAGCAAAAGACACAAGAATATTGGCACATATCAGGGCCAATGCCCCAGAAGTCAACATCTCTCTTTAATCTTCTTTTAAAAATAATTTTAAGTATCGTTTTGACAAATCACTTTAGCATTTTATGTACAGTAATAAAAATAAATTACTCTTAACAGATGAATGTATCAGTTTAATACACCATACAGTGCAATAATAGCATTGGTTTTTTGTTTTTCCCCACTCATCTATAAAGTGCATTGCAGGGACTTGGTTTCACCAAATGGAATGATTGCTGTACATTTATATCTCTTTGGAGGGTAAACGTGTGGACATTCCATTCAACAAGTAGCACTTCTTGCGCCAAAGAATGGCTTCCCCACACTGTTTTGTCTTTTCACTGGCCCCCAGGGGAACAGTGAGACCATGCTGGTTGTTGGAGGGACCTGAGGCAAAAGTGAGTGGAGGAACAAATGCAAATTTTACCTTTCTACATTCTGCTTGTTTCTACACAGAGACTCAGACACCCCTCTCTATCCTGTCAAGACAAGCAAGAGGCATGATCAGAGTTCAATGATACAAATTACAAGAGAGTCTAACTAAACATTCTGACTGTGTGAACTTATTTGACAGTGTTACAGCCTACCTTGGCAAGTGGTGGACTCTCCTTCATTGGAGGTTTTTAAATAAAGATTGGATGGCTACCTGCCAGGGATCCTTTAGCTAAGATTCTTGGATTTTATGGGGTTGGATTAGATGACATTTGGTGTCCCTTCCACCTCTACAGTTCTATGATTCTAGGACACATCCCAGCCAGAGAAAAACATTAAGGGTGTGCAGCAGGGCTAGTGAGAAGTGTAACCTAGGGAAAGATTTGAGGGCCAGGCCTGAAGTTCCCACCTATACCATAAGGGGTAATCTGTATACAACAACACCCACTTTCCACATCACACCTATTTCCAGTGTGCGTACACAACTAAGCTCTTCTACAACAGTCATTCAAGTCAAAGGTGTTTTTCTTTCTAAGACCTTCAGGTAGGTAAGATGCACAAGTTTCACAAAAGTTTTATTTTTATACAACTTAGAAAACGAAGAATGAACTGTGTAAAGCAACATTCCTGTAAGGAGATAAAGGTGTTGGGGTGGAGGGAGTGGTGTGGTGGTTGGAAAGAATTTGTGCATTTATGTTCAGGAGTTGCTAATCAAACTAGAATTAATAAATGTAGAGCAGATAAGTGTTATGTAACCTAGTTTTAAAAACCATCTAAAAATTGTGCATCTTTCTTTTGGGGGTGGGTAGCTACATTCACAAAGGGATGCCTACTAAGGCAAACCACATCTGCTGCATAGGTTTCCCTTAGCATTTTTTGTGTGGATTAGTAAGGAAACACCCGTGCACAGACTGAGCTGTACTGCATTTCTAGGTTGTAACCCAGCAAATCTCTTGGTTTGCACAAAGTAATTTTTGGGATAAGTTTTATGAACAAAACAAATAAACATGAAAAAGTAAAGTAAACAGAGATTCCCACAGTGATGCAATATCTTCTTGACTCAGCTGAGGTTGGGTTTTGTTTTTGCATGTGTCTGACCAATGCATACACCACAGGGATGCAATGTTGCAGGTCTGCACAAAATTTGGGCACAAGAAAAACATCCTGGAAAGCAAAAAATATGCATATATGCAGCTGAAACCTAGTCTGTCAAAGGCATCAAAATTTTGACATAAGTATCATTGAGGAATTTGCTTGTGGATGCTACAAAAGGAATTATTCAAACATAAGAGACACATTTCTGCATTTTTGCACTTGTGTGCATGCATAAGGTGAAGATACAGCATAGCAGAAAATAGAAGAAAATAATGTTCTGTGTGGCTATATCTTGTCTACTACATCTAAGCCTCAAATTGCTGGCTGACCTAAACACACACACACAAACATACATACACAGAAGAGCAACACACTTAGGAACAATCCTGTTCCTATTGTCATCAATAGCAAAGTTCCTTTTAACTTTAATGGTGCAGGATTGCATCTGTCACAAGTAAGTCATGCAAGCCATTGGGTGAATTGCAGTCTCTATCACCACAGTTGTTTTCTGGCTTAATCTCACTGATTCTTCCATAGGGCTTTTAATTCTCTTTCCTAAATGACCTGACTGCATTCCCTTTCTTGGCCACGCTGCATCCCATTATAAAGGTCACTTTATGTCCCCCTGCCTGATTTCACATCACAAATGACATCATACATAGAGGAAAAGAGTTTAGCAAAGAGTGCCTATTCAGACATGTTACTTTAGTAGCTTCAGGTATGCAGAACAATAAGACTGGCGAAGCTGAAGGCCCCAGTCTCTCATCTCCTTCCCTCCTACTAAATAGGGTTGGTAGTTTTGCAGAGTAGTACCTCTCATCTTCCTTAAAACTTAAAGTTAACTAACTGGGCTTCCTAATCATATCAACCCTATTCTCCCACATCTGCTCTTTCCTTTCCATTTTAGGTCAGTCTGTGTAGCCCCAATTATCTCTGGGGTCACTTTTAAGTCCAAATAAATAAAGAACTTTGCAGGAAATAAATGGTTACTCTATAATCTCACACAGTGATACACGAATTTAAGGTGCGTTCATTTCTGTGGACTCCCTTAGAGTACTGGCTCCACAGTAGGATAATGGAACAGCCATTCAACCTTCTCAGTCAACTCATGAGTTGTTGAGTTGTGCAATCTTTATGAGGGCTAGAGGGAAGGTGGGGAGGCAATGACGAGGAATGGCAGTTATTTTTATCTGACTCAACCCGGCCCATCTCCTTTGCCCGGGGCTAATAAATCCACACTACACACTATCTTTTTTTTTCAAAACAGAAGCCTGTGTGCTTTTTAAATAAGTCTCTACGCGGGTAGCATTTTACTGTTTGATTGCGACTTCCGCGGAGCTGTCCAGTCCTGATGGTGCTGACACGTCTTTGGGATGAGAAGGAATCTGGCAGATTCCACTCATCCCACGACGTCTCGGTTTATTTGTTTTTAAATGGCTATTGATATTGCATAGAGGATCAAAATTTGATTAGGATAAAAATGGAAACTCCAAACGGAGCAGCCCACGTTTTTCTCTGGAAATATTCCTGCAAACTATCTGTTTATAATTTTGGTTTTGCTTTTGCTATCTTTATATTCGACATTAATAAAGGGAAGCAAACATTTAACTGTTTGTGTCTGGCTTCCTGCTCCCGCGCTTACATTCACGCCCTGTTTCGAAAACGTGTGCTTCATTCAGAGAAGAGCCCTGAGTGCCCTAGACCCCGGAGTCAAGGCAAAACCTCCTCTTACGCTCCAGTCTCCACAACTAACTAAAAGAAACTCAGAGGCTGAATTCACATGACCCATTTTTTAAAAAACTTGTACCCGCAGAATAAAATCAGGCAACTTTTTTTTTAAAAAAAAAAAGCAGAAGAAACCCCCGCCCGCTCCCCGCAAACGCCTTTCCTGAGAATCCTGCTTTCAATCAAAGGAGAAGAAATTTTAGAGGCGAAAAAATAAATCAAGAAAGCAGAACAAGATTTGTTATGTTTTGAAACATTATCTTGCAGTTTACACTTGGTGTTCCACATTGGCCACAGATTTTGGCAAATGTCCGAGTCTTTCGCCAGGCCTCCCTCCCTAAACACAAAGAAATAATAAAATTAAAATATCGCCCGGTCGCTTGCCCGAAGAGGGAGGGGGAGCATATCAGGCACATCTTACTTGTGTATGGTTTATCAAAATAAAAACAGGCATAAGAAAATAACCATCTGGAGAGCCTTGACACTGACACCCTGCTTTCTTTTCCTAAGAAGGTTGGGTAGGGATCCCTCCCCTCCCCCGTTTTGTTTTCTCCCCTCCTCCCCCCTGCTGCAGCTGCTGGTGCTGGGGGATCATACAAAGGCGAGGAAGGGGAAAAGGAGGAGAAAGAGAAAAGGAGAGAGAGAGAGAGAGAATGAAGAGAGAGAAAGAAGAGAGAGAAAGAAGAGAGAGAGAGAGAGAGAGAGAGAGAGAAGAAAGAGAGAGAGAGAGAGAGAGAGAGAGAGAGAGAGAGAGAGAGAGAGAGATTCCAAAACCATAAAGGCAACCATAGACCCTTGTCATACGTCGCTGGATGTCCTGGGCCGAGAGGAGAAGCCGGAGGTGATGCACCCGCAGCAGGCCACCCAGAGGGATTTCTGGATGTCCGGATTTCTGAAGGCATAAATGATGGGGTTGATGAGCGAGTTGAACGCCGCCGGCAGGGCCAAAGAATAGGTGTAGACGGCTGGGTAGCTGGAGTCCGCCACCAGGGAATAGATGGCCAACGGGATCCAGCAGAGGGCGAAGGTGCCCAAGATGACCGAGAGCGTGGCGATCCCCTTGCGGGTGGAGGTGGCCTGAGAGGTGGCGATGAACTGGTGCTGGATGGCGATCTGCTGGGCGTGCCGGAAGGCGATCTTGCAGATCTGCAGGTAGAGGTGCACCATCAGCGCGAAAATGAGCAGGAAAGCGACGGCCAGCACAGTGGCGTTATTCTTGGTAACGGGCCGGAGGACACTGCAGGTGCTGGGCTCCCGCAGGCAGTTCCAGCCTAGCAGGGGCAGGAGTCCGACGCCCAGGCAGAACAGCCAGACAAGCACCAGCATAGCGGCCGTGAAGGTCAGCGTGCGCTCCGAGTGATAAGTCAGCGCGTTGTAGAGCGACAGGTAGCGATCGACGGTGATAGCTAGTAGGCTGCACACCGAGGCGGAGAAGGCAGTCAGCAGCAGGCCGGCGGCGCTCAGCAGGGCAGTCTCGCTTGGCGAGGACAGCAAGTACTGCACGCTGAAGTTGACGATGAGCCCCAGGCCGGCCAGCAGGTCGGCTAGAGCCAGGCTGCCGATGAGCAGGAATGTGGGTGCGCGCAGACCGGGAGTGTAGAAGAGCACCGCCAGCACCAAGGCGTTCTCGCAGGCCATCGCGGTGCCCGTGGCGCACAGCAGGATGTCCCACGGGTTGACCGCCACGGCCGCCGCGGCCACATCCCCGCTGTCTCCTGGCGCCGGAGACAGATCCAAAGGGCTCCCCGCAGTGGCAGAGGCGACCGACGGCGGCCAGAGGCTGGCGAAGGGCCGGGAGGAGGCGTTGAGGAGCGCTAAGAGTTGCTCCTGCTCTTGCTGCTCCAGACTTTGCTGCTGCATCAGCAAGTGCTCTTCCATGGCTGCTGCGGCTGCTGTAGGGTGACCGAGCATCACTGAAGAGTGGAAGAGAAAGGCAACGGGAGACAGTTATAGGGGAGAAGGCAGGGCGGGGGGCGGGGGGCGGGCGGTGCCTGGGAGAAGGTCAAGGAGGAGCTGGCAGAGTTTGGGGTGCGTGTGTCAAGTATGGTGGCCACCCGCCCACCCCCAGGTCCGCACGTGGAAGGGAGGAGGGAAGGGCCATTAGCGGTGTTCGCATCCACAGAGCTCAGGTTTGGGTTTCACTAGTGTGCATTCAAACTCGACTGGAGAGGATGCTCCGCGACAGAGCACCTGCTTTGTCTGGAGGATGCCCCAGCTTCAATCCCTAGCATCTCCAGGTATAGCTGGGAGATAACCCCTGTCCGGAATCCCAGAGAGCCGCTTCCAGACAGTAAGGACGATACTGAGTTAGATGGACAAGTGGTCAGCACCTGACTCCATGTAACGGCAGCTCCATATGCATGGGGAAGTAACTTAACTCAGTGGTAGAGCATCTGCTTTGCACGCAGAAGTCCCAGGCTCAAACTCCCGCATCTCCAGGCAGGGCTAGGAAAGGCGGGAACCCTGGAGATCCACCGCCAATGGAAAGCAGATGCTTTTGTTCCTATGACCCAATATATCCCAGTCCCATTTCTGGGGATGGGGAGGCGGGGTAGGGAATGTCAATTCCACCTGGATTTGACACCAAACCAGCCACCCCGTCCCATTGCCAACGAAAGGAACCATCAGCCTTTAACCCTGCGGCTGAGAAGGCATCTTATAATCAGCGTGGATGCTCCCTTGCTTCTCTGCCCCAGGAAACACACATCGGCTCCCGAGCCGCGAAGGTGGAGGCACGGAAGACGACGCGCTCCTCAGCCTGTATTAAAAGGTGTTACCCTAAAAACTCCAGAGCCAGACGCCAGAGGCACTCGCGGGAACACAACAGCAGCTTTGAAAAGGGCACCTTTGCAAAAGGAAAAACCAGTCCCTTCCCTGCAAGCAGTGACCAGTATTCTGGGCGTATGTCTGTGCGTGCAGACTTAGCTGAGTGTAACCTGCTTGGTTACTTCCTCTCCCAAAACCCCAGGTGAAGAGTGCTTCATACGAGGACTGCTGATTTTCGGGGTAGTGGGTATTTTTAATTTACTGTAAATTATCTCCATTCCCCGCCGCTCATGCCCCTCACAAAAATGAGCAAAATCAGAGTGGCATGTTGTGCATCCAAAATGTTTCCTACCCCCCTCCACACACACACCCTAAACACTATTAGGATGCAGAGGCGCTTGCATCATCAGTTGTATGTTGGGTGCTGCGGCTACATGGTGGGGAGGGAAGGAAAATGGGACACCGATGACTTACATAGCGTTATATAGCGGGGCTAGAATTTCTTGGCTTGGTCTTTCCCAGAGCTGCTGCTAATAATAATAATAATAATAATAATAATAATAATAATAATACCTTTTGACTCGAATGGGAAAGAATTATCGCTCTCTAATTAGCTATATATATATAGGCAGATATAATTTGTAGTCTAGTCCTCTCCGGATATCTATTTGCATGATTCCAAAGCACCTTCTCACTCAAATAACATAACACATCCAGCTACCGTTAGAACAGTAAGACTGCCGCACCGAAGCGAAGCCAGTTTAATTTGCAGTTCCCGCCCCGACCCCTCCTTTTTTGGGGAATGACACAAGCCGCCTGCGAACAACCGCAGAAGCTCAGCTGCCGCGAAAAAAAAACAAACCCAAACGCGCGCGCGCACAGACACAATCACACAGTTACCCGCGCACAACCTTTCCAGTCTGTGAGACTCCAACGTATTCCCACCCATCACCCCTTCCTTCTACAACCACCGCGCACATTTCTCTCTCGTGTCAGGTTTTAGTGCTGTGAACAAAGAACCCGAGAGCCATTCAAAGGTCACCCTTTGGGCGTTTGGTCTGTGCTGCTGCAGCCGCTGCTTTTGACTCTTGCGGCTGCTCCCATAATACAACTTAACAGAGCCCACCAAAGAACAATTTAGAAAACAGTAGCCAAGCCGTTGGGCTGGTTTCATCGTTCCATGCAACGCGAACACCCTCCGCCTCCCGCTTTCCAAGCCCACTGCGGGATGGAAGAATGTGTGGGTGTGGAAGGAACCAGGCAGACCCCAGGCGACATTCAGAAACAGGCATGCAATTCCCCACCTCCCCAGTTGTTGTTTTTACCTTGGTTTTCAATTCTTTGGTCAGTTGTCCTCCCTGCTAAATCCTTCTCAGTCCTCGGAGTTAAGGCTTCATTCTCTGGTTAACATGGCTAATAACGCTGGCAGGTCTCTGCCAGCCGAGTTGCTCTTAATATTCCCTCCCCCCCTTTGGGTCTGCTGATATCTCTACTCTGACGTCAAAAGTCTTCTCTTATATTCACGATCGGCTCCAAGTCTGTGAATCAGAGGAGCCTGTGATCAGAATAACAACGAGGCGCTCTCTCACACTAGCTCAGCTCCTCCTCTCCTTTTCTCCCAGATACGCACCGGCGAGGAGATAAACACACTCTCGCGCGAACGCGCATACACACTCGTCCTCTGGAATTTCATTCATAAGGCTGCCGAGACCCGCCTCCTTTTCCCAAGGTCAGGTGCTTCACATCTTCGCTTTGAGCGAAGACAAACCTGCAAGGTCTCTCCGGTGTGAAATGCAGAATGACACAATATGAACATGAAAAAGAATGCATTATTATCATTATTATTTTGACTGGAGGATGGATGCGAGCTGGTGATGCCTTCTGGGGCTCAACTGCACCTGGATGGATGTTGTGTAATTAGATCCAGCTGCAGGGACTCGAGATACTGATGGGGATGAGAAGAGCAACCTAAGAGCATTAAGCACTGCTTCAACAATAGCAACAGTCTTGTGGCAGTTTAAAGACTAGAACATGTGTTATGGCACAAGGACCTCCAATGCATGAAGTGTTATACTGAGTTGCAAGTATATAAACAAATGCATGCTGGAGACATTATAAACATTAAGGTGAGAGGAAAATGAGATGTAGGAAAGTACAAATAATCAGGTAACTGAAAAAATATTGTGGATTTTAAAAATCACGCTGCATGTGTTAATTGGCTTACCATGCCAGGATGTTTGTGCTACTGGCACAAATGCTTGTTGTGTATGACCACAGCTAACTATGCAAATATGTCTGTACTTGTTTGCATCTCATTTCACTTTGGCCTCACTCTTTGCATGCATGAGCACACATGTGCATGCGTGCACACATACACAGGAACATAGGAAACTGCCTTTTACCAAGTCAGACCACAGTTCCACTATGTTTGTGGCAAGGAAAAGAATGGTACAAAAGAATAATTCCCTGGATGCCAAGAGCCAAGTTTGGGGCAAGTACTCTTTGGTGAGAGAACCCCAAATATGCAGCAAAAAGTGCAAGTAGATAAATAGGTAGCGTTCCAGCAGAAAAGTAAAGGGCATTTCCGTGCGCTGCTCTGGTTCGACAGAAGCGGCTTAGTCATGTTGGCCACATGACCCGGAAGCTGTATGCCGGCTCCCTCGGCCAATAAAGCGAGATGACAGCCGCAACCCCAGAGTCGTCCGCGACTAGACATAATGGTCAGGGGTCCCTTTACCTTTAAAGCATGGAAATATAGGCTGTTATACCTTTAATATATGTTTTTCTATATATGTGAGTTCCAAAATAGTCCCCTCTTCCTCCAGCATAGGAAAAGAAAGGTCACGTGTTTAGTAAGATAAAAATGGTTTACTTACAAACTCTTCTCAGACCTCCTCAGACCAGCTCAGACCTCTTCACATGTTAAAATTCTCAGGTAGACTGGGGGTGAAGAAATATTTGATGACCTTGTCCCTCCCACGGTGAGCTAAGCCTGGCAGGACAGCTTACTGTACAGTATGAACCCCTTCATGGATTAGACTTAATTAAGCATGTTGGTTATATGAGGCTGGTTATCACACACACACCTAGTTCAATATTGCCTACACTGACTGACAGTGGCTTTCTAGGATTTCAGGCAGGAGTCTCTCCCACCCATGAAGCTCAGTGAGGCAATTACGTACCTTTGGCAGCAGGCTAGGGACAGCTGGAAGGGGCAGCAGATCCAGGTCCCACAGGAGCATGCTGCTTACCAGCAAATGTGGGAGTGGATGAGGAGGGCACCATTTTATGTTTTGCCTTGATTGGTAAAACATCCAGGGCTGGCCCTGATGCCAACCCTGCCTAGAGGTGTCCGTGAAGATTGGACCTGGGATGTCCTGTTTGCAAGGCAGATACTCCATAACTGAGCTACGACCTCACCCCACCCTCCACAAATTATGTATATATGTATCTGCAACTCAAGATAACACTATGCATCTGATGAAGTGGATTGTAGCCCACAAACATTTATGCCATCATAAACATGCTAGTCTTTAAAGTGCCACAAGACACTTTGTTGATTTTGCTAACATAGAATAATAGAATTATAGAGCTGGAGGAGATCCTGATGGTCATTTAGTCCAACCCCCTGCAATGCTGGAATCTCAACTAAAGCATCCATGACAGTTGTCCACCCAACCTTTGCTTAAAAACTTCCAAGAAAGGAGAGTCCAGCACCTTCCACGGGAGACTGTTCCACTGTCAAACAGCTCACACTGCCCAAAAGTTCTTCCTGGTGTTTAGCTGGAATCTCCTTTCTTGTAACTTGAATCCATTGGTTCGGGTCCTACCCTTCAGAACAGGAGAAAGCAAGCTTGCTCTATCTTCCATGTGACAGCCCTTCAGATATTTGAGATGGCTAGGATTGTTATTCTTTTTTAAGTGGGTAACCCAAAGTTGGGCCAACCCAATAGAAAGTCCAAGATGCTTTCCAGGGCTGCAGTGTCCCGGGCCTCCAAGCTAAGGATAATGCACATTTTTTCAAGTTAAGCCACTTGAGACCCCTGCCGAATCAAAGGCCCATCTAATTCAGCTCTCACAGTGGCCAACCAGATGCCTCTGGGAAGCCTACAAACAGGACATGAACACAACACTTGTGATTCCCAACAACTGGCATTTAGCGGTACCCTGCCTCTGACACTGGAGGTGATAGTACATAGCTATCATGGCTAGTAGCCATTGATAGCTTTATTCTGCTTCATCTCTGGAAGTATCACTTGCACATTGTGTGAGATAGATGATAGATAGATTATAGATAGATAATAGATAGATGGTAGATTAGATAGATAGATATAGAGAGATGATAGATAGATGATAGATAGATAGATATAGATGATAGATAGATAGATGATAGATAGATGATAGATGATAGATATAGATGATAGATAGATAGATAGATGATAGATGATAGATAGATGATAGATGATAGATAGATAGATAGATAGATATAGATGATAGGTAGATAGATGATAGATAGATGATGATAGATAGATAGATAGATAGATAGATAGATAGATAGATAGATATAGATATAGATATAGATATAGATATAGATATAGATATAGATATAGATATAGATATAGATATAGATGATAGATAGATAGATAGATGATAGATGATAGATAGATAGAGATAGATAGATAGATAGATAGATGATAGATAGATATGATAGATCGATGATAGATAGATAGATAGATGATAGATAGATAGATAGATAGATAGATAGATGATATAGATAGATAGATGATAGATAGATAGATGATAGATGATAGATAGATTAGATAGATAGATAGATAGATAGATGATAGATAGATAGAGAGAGAGAGAGAGAGAGAGAGATGATATAGATAGATGATAGATAGATAGATAGATAGATAGATAGATAGATAGATAGATAGATGATAGATAGATAGATAGATAGATATAGATAGATGATAGATAGATAGATAGATGATAGATAGATAGATGTTAGATAGATAGATGATAGATGATAGATAGATAGATAGATAGATGATAGATAGATAGATAGATATAGATAGATGATAGATAGATGATAGATAGATAGATAGATAGATAGATGATAGATAGATAGATATAGATAGATGATAGATAGATAGATAGATAGATATAGATAGATAGATGATAGATAGATGATAGATAGATGATAGATAGATGATAGATAGATGATAGATAGATATATGCATTTAAATAACAAAGCATGTATGAAAATGCTGCCTTTGAGGAAGTATTATGGATGTTTTTAATTACAACAAATACGTAGGGCTGCAACTCTAGTGGGTCGTATTTCCTTACTTGAAAATGAATTGGAACATGAATAATGTTTTGAAAATGGATGTACCATGCTATGCAAGTGGATTTCAGGGCTATATTGAAGGAGGGGCAATGCTAAGCTCTGGGGCACAGTTTCATTGTAGGAATGGATTGGGACACTAGGAGAGGATGTATTGTTTAGTTATTATCCTTCCTAGCTCATGTGAGTAAGATCAGCAGAGTACCATCCTTTGCAGCTTAAACTTAGAAGCTAAGACAAGGTTGACTCGACATTCTAGAAAATACAATCCAAGATGCTCTGAAGCAGTCAGGATTTCCCCTGGTATTACCCTTTTCCCCCTCTTAAGAACATCAATCACACACATTGTTTTGTGAAGAAATAAAAGAACTATTTACTTACATGATATAGGTCTTAAAGCAGGAGTTACAGTAACAAAATGAAAGCAGGTTTATAACTACAGTCTCACCGTGGGTTACAGCCGCTTCAGGTTGTATTTTTTCGGGTTACACACCCACCAAAACCCAGAAGTACTGGAATGGGTTACTTCCGGGTTTTGGTGATCACACATGTGCAGAAGCACTAAATCACTTTTTGCGCATGCACAGAAGTGCCGAATCGCAACCCGCGCATGCGCAAACACGCCACTGCGGGTTGTGAACGCTGCGGGTTGTGAACGTGCATCCCGTACGGATCACGTTTGCAACCTGAGCATCTAAGTTATCTATCTAAGTTACTATCTAAGTTACAAAAGTACAAAATGTAAGTTCAAAAATAGTGTCTGAGCTGCAGACTTCAGACATGTACAGGTGTTCAGCTTGGAAGCAAAGAAAGGGATGCCTAAGCTGGAAGGAAGTATGTAGTGTTACAGCTTTCTGCCAAGGCAGAAAAAGAAAGTGATTTCACAGAGTTCTCTCTAGCAAGTTTTATAGGAAAGCTCTGTGAGTTTCAGCCCCTTCATGTGCCCATCTGGCAAAACATGATTTGTTGGTTTGACTGCAATAATGTCCCACATGGATAGCCTGCTAAGTTGTTTAATTTGATCTGTTTGCCAGTTCCTGCCAAAGGTTTTGTAAGAAACTTTGCTCACAGTTCCACATGTAAGGAAATGATGCAGTGGGAAATCTGTGTGAATTTCAAAATCCATATTACTAGAGCTAGATGGTAAATAAAAGAAACAGAGTTCTGCAGAACTCAAAATCTTGTGTCCTATTGTTATAGCATTTGGGTTGATCAAATAAAAGTATTGCCTTAACATGGATTTTGGAAATTCTTTT